AGGGGTGTATGCCTCCGAGTGTGAGGCGGGGTGTTGTCCTCGCGGGACCACTAACCAAAATGTAATGTAGAGAATAAAGGGGGTGGGGAATAATACCTATGTACCCTAGAACCCTAATTGCCAGTATGCTATTACTATTCCAGGGAAGGTAAGATATAAATAACTACGTGAGTAGGTGTACGTACCTGGTAGTATGGTATTGAACCTGACAATCCGTATAGGTTTTTTAGTAGTACCTGTAACCTAAATGGATAAACCGTATGGCATAAGGAAATATGGCATAGACCAAGCTTATCTTAATACATGCAGTATATGTGAAAAGTAAAGTGCCGTGATGTGTAAATATTAAACATCATAGCCATACTTAAATATGTATCAATCTTAACCCATTAAGTACCGTATGTACAAGTGATAAAGTGGTCTGTCCCCACATTGTATGTTGTATGTCCCCTTGCTAGGGGAAATGTCTGTTGTGTGAGCAGCGTACTGTGTGAAAAATGTGTTTGTGAACTATATTACCAGTTATGTATATGCAGATGTGCCTGCTACTGTGTAATCATATGTGTACTTATAACAGCTGTTGATATACTACTTGCTATGTGAATTGCTGTATGTCTTATTGACCGGTAGGGGTCAGCGAACATGGTGTTGAAAAAATGCAAGTGCACTTGAGATCTGTAGAGTGCCCTGTAGGTGGCAATGTAGTTAGAAACTGTCGTTTGTGAGTTATATGTCCCAACCGTAATTAGCTGTATGGAACAAAATACAAGCTGAGCCCGTTCGGGAGGTTGTAACTATGCAAAAAATGTGTAGCCTGGTGTAACCGGCAGTAGGTCAAAAATAGTGTTCCTGTTTGAGGGTTTTTTAAGCCCGAAACGTGAGCTGCTTAACCTGGGAAATGCTGTGACAAGCTGTTCCCGTATGGGAAACATGCATGAACAGTAAAACGAATGAAAGACAGAAAAGTAAAACACATGGATTTCCTGTTCGTGCGGTTCTAACGCATGAACAGCAATGCCTACATAGAATTAATGATACTGAATATGTTCTCGTTCGGGAGTCTGCAGCCTTATTACTGAAAATGTGAAACACATGGATTTCCCGTTCGCGCAGTTATAATGCGCGACGGCAATGCCTTACATGAAATATATATATACACTGAATATGTTCCCGTTCGGGAGTATACGAATGCCCGAGCGGGGCAAGATACATATGAGCATAGCATTTGAAAACCGAACACATGGATTCCGTTCGTGCAGTTTGTAATGCACAAACGCATATGCCTTGCAGAAAAGTAGAGTTTCTGTATGGTTTCCCGTTCAGGAGTATGCGAATGCCTGAGCGGGGCTAGATATACGAGTATGTATGTTAACGAATGGCCGTGTCAACGAACGATGCATGGACAGTCCGAATGTAGCAGTTAGAAAACTAAAGTAACCGTTAAGTGAGGACCTGACCCGTGAATGATGCCGTGGGACTGTTGCCTGGCGTAACGGGTAGGTCAACTTACGGTTTGCGAGTCACTTTGACGTTATCCGTGGCGATGGAAAGAAGCAAGAAGCTGGTCAGACAGAAAAGCCTGCGGTTGGATTCCTGGACACAGCTCAGCATGGAAGACCTCATGGAGAAAAAGGAATTCCGAAAATGGCGTCTGGATGAATCAGAATTGGATCTCATTCAGATGCTGACCTCGAGCGGTATGGAGTCAGGTAAGGGGTGTCCCTTATATAGGTAAGTGTATTATCTTAAGCCCATCCCACAATTACAGGCCAAACAGCCTTAATACATATAAAAATTAAAAACCAATAAAACAGCTAACTTTGGCCAGCGTTTGTGACTAAACAGCTACAACAAAAGACTGGAAATACCCCATTTGGATGATCAACTGTGAAAATTCCAAGTTGGAAAACTGGAATGCGCACCTTCCAAATAAGGTCTTCTAGCCCAAAGAGAACCCAACACACCTATACATGGGTGGTATCACTGTACTCAGTAGATGTTGCTGAACACATATTGAAGTGTTCTTTGGCATTAACCCTTAAAGTTCTCAGTACATATATTCTTAAATTGCTATGTATCTCACAAAAATCACCAATTATTATTTTTATTTTTCTTTGGCATTGATTGGTGGTAAAATGGCTGCATGAAAAGATTCAAAATACCCCAGGTTTAATACCTTAGGTTGACTTCTTTTAAAAACATATACATGTAAAGGGTTATTCGGGGATTCCGTACAGATATCAGTGTTACAATGTAACTTGCGTTAATTTTGAAAAAAAATGGTTTGGAAATTGCAAAGTGCTACCTGTGCTTATAGCCCTATAGCTTTCCAAAAAAAAGCTAAGAACATGCTAATATTGGGCATTTCTAAACTCAGGACAAAATTTAGAAACTATTTAGCATGGATGTTTTTTTGGCAGTTGTAGATGCATAACAGATTTTGGGGGTCAAAGTTCAAAAAAAGTATGTTTTTTTTCAATTTTTTAATCATATTTGATCTTTTTTTTTATATAGTAAATTGAAAATAATAGACTTGTGCAATTCCTTTTTTTAAAATTCGCATAATTTCGGGTAATTTGGACATTCGGGTGCTTCCGAATGTCCAAATAGCTGAATTGCCGAAGTCCCGAAATGACAGAATTTCCGAAGTGTAGTAGGGCCGAAGTTCCGAGGTGTCAAAGTGCCGAAGCACAGTATTGCCTAAGTACTAATATACTTACCCAGTGAAAGAAGAAGAATGTTACATTGTATACAATTTTAAATAAAAAGTATACAAATATAGCCAGGATTCAGCTGTAAGCGTTTGCAACACAACAATCAAGTAACACACATTCATATAAAATTTAAGTTAAAAAAAATGGTTTGGAAATTGCAAAGTGCTACCTGTGCTTATAGCCCTATAGCTTTCCAAAAAAAAGCTAAGAACATGCTAACATTGGGCATTTCTAAACTCAGGACAAAATTTAGAAACTATTTAGCACGGATGTTTTTTGGCAGTTGTAGATGCGTAACAGATTTTGGGGGTCAAAGTTCGAAAAAGTATGTTTTTTGTCATGTAATGACAGGAATAAGTAGATAACTCCCTAATTCTCACGGTATTAGGGAGCTATCTACTAAAAGGCTGAATTGGTCTTTCAGCCAAATTTACTAATACTAAGTAAAGATTACTTAGTATTAGTAAATTATGCCGCTACTCGCTATATCGCAAGTAGGAGCATGTCTATTAAACAGTGAGCAGCTTGTGGTCCTCCCTCCTGAGCCCCCACCCGCGAAGGCCTATTGCCCCCCACGCGGCCCCCAACCATGAGTGGCGGGTGGGGGCCCTAAAGTAAAAAAAAGGGGGGGAGGACCTATTGTCCTCCCCACCGGCCCCCATCCCTGAGCGGTGGGTGGGGGCCCTAAAGAAGAATAAGGGGGGGACCTAATGTCCTCCCACCTGGCCCCCACCCCTGTGCGGTGGGTGGGGGCCCTAAATACAAATTGGGGGGGACCTAATGTCCTCCCCCCTGAGCGGTGGGTGGGGGCCCTAAATACAAATGTTTTTGGGGGGGACCCTAATGTCCTCCCCACTGGCCCCTACCTCTGAGCGGCGGGTGGGGGCCATAAATACAATTTTAACCCTCCTTCCCCCCCCAGGTGACTAGGGGTCCACAAACCCCTAGTCACGCCCTCCCCCAAAAAATAAACCCCTACCTACCCCCCCTCACCCTAAAAGTAATGAGTTGGTTTGAAATCCACCAATCTGAGTGCTCTGTGTCATTTTACACAGCGTGGGAAAGTTCTTTGGAATATTCCCACGGTGTGTAATTTGACTCATAACACTCTGATTGGTGGATTGGGGGGACCTCACTGTTTAATAGACATGTCACTACTCGCGGTATAGCTAAACACAAACACCACAGAAATGTAAAAAGAGTCTTGGTCCCAAAGGCAAGAATTTTGAAAAACGGCCTGGTCACTAAGGGGTTAACTTACCTTCAGTCTGTAAGTGCATTCTAAATAACATTTTCTAAGTTTTAATTTTACTTCACCATATACGTTTTTTTCCTTTTTATATATACAAGATTCTACAACATCTACATATTCTGGAATTTTTCCTGATCCATTTATCCCCGGGTGGGGTGACAAGCCTGATATCACCATTTGTTTGTGAGTTTTATACTTACACCACATTTATATTTTTGTTTAAACTGTATTACGCTATGTTACGTTCATTATTATTATAGATCTTCCACTGATCATCTGATCCTGGTCTGCTTTTCCAGGTGGTTTATATATATTTTATACGTATACTAGATTTTTCCCACTTTTTGTTTTATTTTACTTCCGGGTGGTTGCCTGACACTGGACGTCCTCACGCTATACACAAAGAAATCTAGCTTCACCCAAAACCCCATAAGAAAACATTATACAATGTTTTCCAATGGGGGAAGTCCTAATGCGAATGTGGCGATTGTCGCACATGCACATTAGGTCCACCCCACCAAAATATGTCAATGGTGGAGGGAAGGCGGAGCCAAGTGACATCGGCACTGGAATCTGGTAAGTGGCAGAAGTAGTTTTTAACCCCTTCAGCACCACAGGGGTTTTCCTGGCACTATTGTTTCCAGTTAACTTTTGGTAAAAATCATCCTTTTGCCCACATTTCTTCTGCATATATGTGTTTATGCAGATCACATGAAATCTTTCTAGGAATTAACATTATATGGTAGCAACTGCCCATCTTATATGTATGACCAAGATGTTTGTTGTGTTTTTTTGCTAACCATAAATTAGAAAATCTTAACATGTTGCTCCTGCATCATGCAAGATGATAACGCATTGTATACATTTTCATATTGCATGTACTGTATGTAACACAATGGATATAAAACGTTAGGAACCATAAATAGAGAGGTAGGAGTTCCTTATATTCTATAGTCATTAACCCACACTAACTAGTATGAACGTTATTGATGCCTTCACATACATCAAAGAAAGACAAATATTCAATCACAATGCAAAAAGATAAAGTATTTTTATTAAGAAAAATAATAAAACAAATATGGTTTGTGACATCTCTGCAAGAGAGAATCAGGCCTATATGTATTAAAGTGTGCAACAATCCTTCACTTCCATTTGCATGGAACTCTAAATATTGGCACCTAGGTCAGGCCTTCGATACATTAACAACCAACAATGGTTCACTATTGCAGCAGTAATGAGTGGTACACATTTGTTTGCCCTTATCCATTAAGGTTCCATTATGGCTTACCATGTCTCATATGGCATTAACTATTAATGGACCTTTGTGAACCATCACAAACCCAGTGCTGTGAAATGTTAGGGTGTTACAGGCATCCTTTTTTCAGATCATAAAAGACTGGTGCAAATGCCAGACACAAAAACAATCCCTATTTTAACGACAAAAACGACATGACAATTAAGAAATATCAGATTCAAGCTGTATACAGCAGTTTGAGGCTACAAGAATGGTAGCATGTGCTACTCCGATCATTGAACCCGTTTAAGATAATTCTTCTATACGTATGCATCTATATTATGATGCATGGCATTACCAGCACCTCTTAAGTAAGTGTCAATTTTCAAAGGACAAATCAATGACCATAACCAAAAACAAACAAAAAAACACACCAACTAAAACTAACAATGTAGGCAGCGGATACACGTACAAAACAGATATTTTTCTGTAACATCCAATACTGCCAAAACTGTACTGACTCCATCAAACATGGTGTTCTTTCTAGAAGAACACAGGCACCACATAAAAATAACTATCATTCAAAACTGAGAAAAAGAAACCCAAAACACCCGTAAAATTTCCAACAGCACAGATTACCTGCAATTATATCAATGGTGTTTCTGAGACGTACACGGTTATAATAATAATAATAATAATAATGCAGCATTTTGAGTGCAATCACAGTAATATCTGATCAGAGACAAGAAAAGTGTGCACAGAATTGTGGCTTTGTTCAAAAGTGAACTACAAATACACTAAAATAAAGTGAAACTTTAGCAAAATAAATTAAGTTGAGCCCCTTTTTTTGTGTGTGAGAGTATTCAGCACTTTTCAACCCAAAGAAAATGCATTTTAAAATAACATATTAATGATAAATTATTATATTAAGTGTAACTAAAACACGGAATATTTTATTATGAGCTGAATAATTATCATTCTTCCAAGAATAAAGATAACATACAACATTGTGTATGCTAATCCCAGACATCTGAGATAGTTCTATTTCTTAAATATAATGAAATACATTAGCATGGGATACAGACTCTGAGAAGACAGCATTGTTATATTGTATTAGCAATAATGATTCATTTGGCTGGGAGGGCAGGGAGTTGTTCTATGGTATTTAATTGGCACTAATTAATGAAGTATATAGCATGTCACTTGGCAAATACATATGCGCCTTTAAGTCTAAGACTTTTATGCACAATTCAGTGCATATGTAGAAGTCTTAAAGGTCCTGTTATTCACAAAACATATGGATGATTGTCAATTTTTACATTGGTACGTAGTATAATCTATATATTATGCTGGTAAAAACATCCTTAATTGTGTGATGTAAAAGGTATACTGGCAGGCCTGTGTGCCTATTCCAAGAGGTCCAGTGGATAAATTAAGAATGGCTGTAAATGTGTCAGTTGAACCGGATGGATTGCACAACTGTTTCCATCCTTATAGCACCACATGTACAGTTCTACTGAAATAGGTGGCTTGGCACATTTGGCACTATACTGGTAAGTACATAAAGTAAAATAAAAATTTTCTGTACATTTATTGGTAATTTGGTTTGTTCAACAGAAATTGAGCACTACATCATTGATGTTTTAGGATTATTGGGACTATACATTTAACGAATATAGGATACCATTTGTGTTTTGGTTCTGTTCTGCCAATTCGACATTAACTCACCATATCAGGTCAGTCTAACAGTTTTCAAGTTAGGCTACATCCATCTGCTCACAGCAAGATTGTGTGCTCATTAGCGGAGCAGTTGGGAAAGCCGAATTACTGGGTGTGTTGTCAAGATTTCCAGAATTCAATAAATGAATTAAAAGAAAAAAAACATTACAGCTGCACAAGATATTATTTAGGACTTCCACTTAAAGGCGAGTAAAAGTGTAAACATGGAATATGAAAATCCTTTTAAAGAAAAATAATATGTTTATGTAACGTATCCTCACAGGATTTTAATATTTGAGGAGTGTGGGGGGGGAACATAAAATGTTCCTATGAAAATATGAAACATCCTGATATTTACTAAGATAATGTTCCATAACATTAATAACATAGACAAAGAAAAGTTTCCTCAAAGAAGAGTTGCCCCTTCAGAACACCTAACTCTTTAATCAGTGGGGATTTATACAGTTCATTGGCAAAACAGCTAGCATGCAGTGTTTGGGTTGAGAAAGGTATGAACACTCTCAGGCTGACTGCTACACATTTTTCTCTTAGTACATACATACATACAGCATTCCACCATGCCCTGAGGTTTAAAAAAAATCTTCCAGCTGATACACACAAGGGTCAAAAGCAAATACAGATAATGCCTGTTCACCCACTCCTACCCAGAGTAAGATCGGAAAATAACAATTTGAGGCCTGTGACAAAAGCTTTATGGGGAACGTATCGTATACACACCTCAAAAGACATTGGATGAGAGATAAACTGGGATATTCACTCAAGTGAGAATTCAAAGTGAATTTCAAACGTAAGTCTAAAATAGCCGAAATGTAAAAATTACCCAATTCAGCCAAGTTTTCAGTTCAGATACTCTAGCCTTGAATTTGAAATTCACTAACTCACGTTTGTAAATACCTTGGAAGTCCTATTTCAGTTTCTTGAAGCTACATTTTTTCACCGAGAAAATCAATAAGATTTGCTCATCATCTTGCAATTTGTTTACATTTGTGTGAGTGTTATTAAAGGCACATGCCCGGCACCTGAACAAATGTGATGCGTATTAAAGCTCACGATAAAATAAATGAATATGCGTGCAAGAAAGCAGCAGGTATAGAACATCTAAAGGCCTTCATTCACTTGTACAGGTGTGTTTTCGTTGCGAATGTCCCTATAAGAAGCATGCACAAGCTATGGGAAGCCAGTGATTGGCTGAGATATCTAAGCTTATTTATGGTTTGAGTAAAAAAAAATAAAAAAAAATATATATATATATATATAATAAAAATAATCAAAGAAGGCTGATAAAATATCAAGGCAAACCAAAAAAGCAGGTAACTTGAAGACTAGTAATTAATGTCCAATTAATTAATAAAAAATGAATAGGGTACCTTGCGTGAGTGAGTTGCAAATTAAAAAACTACAGTTGACCCTCCTTACATATTATACATAAGTTAATAAAAAAAATAAAAATAAACACACATTATTTTACTTCCTACTGCTGCTCATTCACAGGTCTTTTTTTGCATTGTCCACTTTAAAGATTTCAATGTTTTCCAGGGGAAAGTATTAAGTCAACTGCGCTACTGGCATAAGAGATTTCAGTGACTCCAATTACATATCTTATAATACTGGACTACCATAGTGTTGCATTTGTTCAAGCTCCATTTTCCTTGCAGCAACATTCTCCCCTGCCTATGCAGAACCTGAGCAATATCATGCATGCATATAAAACAAAATAAGTGGTTTCCCTAAATTATTAAGGTATTCTATGCATTAACATTGTCCAGGGGCAAGGTCAAACATGTCTCAATTTTCATCAAGAGATGTTGAGCATAAAATAGGATTCTGTGGTGAAAAGCATTTCAAAAACACCAAAATAGGATTCTAGTAAATTGTGTGGTATTTGTAGCTCCTTCCTTATACATGTATACACACAAACATATTTTACCTTCTATAAACCAGTTAGTAATCCCAGTGCAAGGAAAAGCAGCAATTATACTGTTTAAGGCAGATGTCCTGAAATGTCAGGATTAATTGCTTAACCCCTTGTTATTAAAGGGTAAACACAAGAGACAACTAAACTCCAGAAGTGCTTGCTATGAAAATATAGACTGTTATTGGTCCTTAAGATGTTAACTAAGCCATGAGTCCTGCAGCAAAATGACTTAGAATTACATGTGAAGAGTTCTTTTGGGATTCTGTGATTACATACATCAGGCATGTATGACCACATTATTGAAGATAATCAATCACTCTAGTCTAGATAGTCGTAATGACATAGCAACAAAAGAGAAAACTGAAAATCAACACATTCATCCAGCCTCTCCTAACACTGGGATTATGTTACATTTTTGGTATTGTATTGTTTAAACTCCATCTCACATTACAATTTGAAAACATATTTAATATGTGGCAAAGCTTACAAAGTGTCTGCTCTGTGTCATCCAGGTTGGACACTGTCAAGCCCTACTGCTGCTGAGGATTACAGGTCCCAGCATTCAGTACAATTGGGCTACCACTGGGATTATCAAAAGGTCACTGGCTTCCAATTCATTTTCCACGCAACATTTTTTGTTTTGTTTTTATTATTCAACAATCAGAAAGGCTCATTGTATATGTCGGATTGGTTGGCCAGTTTTAGAAGTATACCAGCCCTTTATAAAAATCAGAAGTTTTTTGGTTTTTTTTTTTTTTACGCACTAATACAAGGAGAGAATGGCTACAAACGTAAACATAGATATTGCCCCACTCACTCATTGATTTGTTGCAGTTAGACACTCATTTTCTTATGTAACAGATAAGTATGTCTCCTATAGACGCTAACTGTAACAAGGATTTTTAACTGCAAGTAGCAGGGTCAGGCTCTCCCTTGCTCCAATTGATAGATGTGCATGGGTGTTGGGACCTGCCCCAAGCCTGATCAAGTGTAAAATCACCTAATGATACATGTTGCACAAGTTAGCATTATTTAAGATATTGCTTCTATCAATGAAGCTGAAGTTAACAGATTTAATGAAATCAACAAGGAACTGTAAACATATTAATTATATTTACCGTTTTCCAACTTTTAAACATGCGTTAGAAAATGAAAGTAGCTTATATTTACTAAATAAATACTCGATTTCTGTAACTTTTTGGGTACGCATGAAAGGCTACATTCAGTTATGGCGAGTTTTATGTACCAGTCTTGCACAGACAACAGAATGCTACTTTACAGATGACCGTTCATCTGTATATTGTCCCAGCAGATGTATAGTAAAACGCAGTAAGAACTTGAGCTTATCTAGGCAGGTAGAGTGAGAGGTGTGTACTGGGCACTGTGCAAACAAACAAGCAAAGATCAGGTAAGGATCTTTAAATCCTCATATTTATACTTATTTTGTATAATGGTGTGTAATCCTGCTTTGTACAACTTAATCACCATGGATCTCACAGAGCAGACACTTGTAAAGCCAAGAACAGTGACTCTGCCGTAAAGAGGGTTTAACAGGCATTTCTCATTTCCCTCAAAAATCTAAATAAAAAAACATGAAACCAAGAACAGTTCACCATGCTCTCCCATGCAATATCTTTGATTTTGGTGACTTTTTACCCCTGCTCATTGTCAGTTTTTTTTTTGTTAATTAAAAAATAAAATATATAATTCCAATCTTCCGCCCGAAAATAAAAAAACAAAGTGTTGTGACTGAATAAAAATAAAATGTGGAGTGGCAATTTGGCATTACGTTCCTAATGGAAGATATGTGAGGTTTCCTTCCTGATCCAAACAGATCTCCGCTTGCCCTGTGCTTTCCTGTCTTGCCAAGTTCTCAGAAGCGACAGGCCTTGTACCAGAGTCCTTTTGTGGTAGCGTCCTTTCTGCTGATAGTCTCATGTTATCGAAGTTCAAGACTTTTTTCTGCTTCGTTAGAGTGTTCTTTGTGGGGAGTTCTAATCTGTCCAGCTTGCTAGAAATACTCCGGCACACATCAACAGGGGAGGGATGGTCAGCCTCATCGCTCCCTTGAGCTGAATCATCTGTGGTCTGGTTTTTGGAGTCGCTGCTTTCCTCATCCACTGGACTTTCAGTGTCCTCCTGTTCAGTGTCCGACTCCCCCTCCTCCTCCAGGGTGAGTTCAAACTGGAATTTGTCACCTGTTGCATTACCTCTTTCTAGTTCTTGATCATCTGGTGGAGGAGATGGACTTTGAGGAATCATGCTTTGATACCATTCTCGGTTATCTTCTAAGGTGTCAAGAATTTCTTGAGCATCAGGGTGCACCAAATCTGCCCAGGTCTCCCAGAGAGGGTGCACAATGTAATCAATGAAACCAACCTTAAACAAGAAAAGGAAACATACTTCAACATACATAGTAACAATATTTATTACCTATTGTTATATTCATGCACTTAAAGAGATACTGTAAGTTTTAAAACAACTTAATGGAGCAGATGTATAGATTAGGTAAATTGAACTTTAAATCACACACAGAAAGCTAGCAGGCTATTAGAGCAAGAGATAATACATTATAAATTAAAGGCAAACTTCACTTCACTGCCCAAATACAAAATAAATAAAAATCCCTGTTTAGTAGACATACCCCAATCAAAAACATTAATGCATTTAATTGTGTATTTTTTCATTGGGGGATATATCTAAAAATCAGCCTGCAAAACCTTCAGTTCTCCTGTCTGCTGCCTTTGCAAGCTCTCTCCTTTTATCCCCACCCAGACTTTCTGTGGCTGTCCAATCACAGACTTCCAAATACAATTCAATGAGATGTCTCTGTAAGTCAGGTGCTCTGGGCAATTGCTGCCTCTTAAGGTCAGCTCCACTGAGCCAACAAAACCAGGAAGTAACATTACGTGTTCTCTGCTTGAAAGCTAAGGGGGTGAAACAAGGTGCATTTATAAAAGTGTACATTTCTATTAAAATCTGCACTTAAAAAAAAAAAAAACCTTTTCACACTAAAAAGCAAGCTACAGTTGTTTAGGTGTGACCCTTTAAATTAGTTGTGCAATAAAGGACCCTAAAATATCTAGGATCCTTTTGAGGAAGTGTTTAGGAAGGCTGTGCTAGTCACATGCAGGGAGGTGTGACTAGAACTGTATAAACAAAGTAATTTAACTCCTAAATGGCAGAGAATTGAGCTGTGAGACTGCACGGGCATGATCTATACACCAAAACTGCTTCATTAAGCTAAAATTGTTTTGGTAACTATAGTGTCCATTAACCAAAATTATTTTTCATTGATTAGCAATGATACATCAACACAAATTGACTTGCTTCTCACATACATACAAATTGAAATAATGTTACAGAATGCTGCAATTATTGCTCAGCATTCATTAAGGGTACTAGAACAAAAGAATGGTATAGATTTATCAAAGTACAAAAGTAACAACAAAATGTACTAGAAATTTAGTTGGAATTGCAGCAAGGTAGTCCTTCGGGATAATGTATAATGGGAAGGATTTGTGTTCAGATGATATGGAGAGAGGTACCAATATGAGGATTGAGATATAATGCGTCAAAGGAGGAGTTTGAGGTGCATCTTTGGAGTTTGGAAAATAAGCTGAGAGACGTTGCAGAGTAGCTAAGAGTTTAGTGTGTGTGTGTATGTCAGAATAGCAGTCTCCATCCAAACGTACCTGGGATTTTTCAACAGAAGCATTGTGCTTGTCACACATTGGGCTGATCTCCATGCCTTTCTCTCGCTCTCTGTCTCCCTGGTGGAAAAACTCCACTATAATCCGATCTGTCCACTGGCGATAGAGCTCTAAAGGTTTGGTGGGATTGCTGAGGTCTGCACAGTGCACCATGTTCTGTAGGACCTAGACAGAGAACAAAAGGATGTACTTTTTATAAACAATGTGTTTTTATTAACTACATAAAGACTTGGAAACCATTCTTGCAGGACTTTACTTGTAGGCCAGTATGACTAGAGATGCAACAAAAAGCTATTAATCTTTTAATGGCAGAGACTGTGACACTTGAGTCCCAATTTTCTACAGGAGATTTATCTCCTGCCCTCGAGACTGGCCCACTTCTCTATATCATCTCTTGGCTGTGACTCTATTGGCTGGCTGATGCATGTCTGGTATATCTGTTTAAGAACATTTGCTATAGTGTTGACACATGTAGATTATATACGATAAATAACTAAGCAAAATTGACAAATAATGTGGAAATTGTCCTTCTGGGGATGTATCCAAAAGGCATTACTCAAAACATTATTATTAATATCTTATAAGACACTTAAATGGCGACAGTGCA